GCAGCGGAGGAGCGCGGGGCGGGACCGGGTGCTCTTCTCCCTGCAGGGCGCGGCAGCCACCCTGGCCGGGAACTACAGCTGCGTGTTCCACCAGGCGGGGCCTCCCTTCCAGGCCTCGGAGCCCAGTGACCGCCTCGAGATCTCGGTGACAGGCAAGCCTTTCTATATTCAGGGAGTATTTTCTCGGCCTGCAGGTGGCGTGGTGGTTAAGGCCCTGAACTCCCACATGGCAGACCACAGTACAAGTCCTGGACCTCATGGTTTGAAAATCATGCCGGGCGCTGTGTGCGTGCCCAAAATCCCAGGGGGAGAATGGAGAGAAGGGAATTATAGAATGGCAGTCCCCCGGGGTGCCTCTCTCTGTCTCCCTTTGTCTCTCCAGGGGGAAAAAAGAGATTGTTTTCTGCACTCGGAGAGGACCGTTGTGCTCTGTGTGCTTGTTCTTAGTCTTCCGTTCACTGCTGTATCCCCACGTGTGCAGGGCTGGAGAGGGGGTGCGGGAAGGTACAAGTGGCCGGGATGGGGCCGTGGCTTGAGTAGTGGCTAAGGCGCTGGCCTCCCACGTGGTCCACCAAGGTGGGGTCCTGGATCTTGCGACTTGGAGACCACGCCAGTGTGTGTGTGTGTGCGTGCCCAAAGTCTCCGGGGGAGAATGGAGGGGTTGCAGCGTCCTCCCCTGGGAGGACGGCTCCTCATTTCCCACTCTCTAACTCTCTGGCAAGGGCATGCACCCTATGACGCAAACCTTGAAACATTTCTCTTTAAAGATGTGCCATGGGACCAGCAGATGATGTAATGGTTCCACTACTGGACTCCCACATAGTTGACCAGGGTTCAAGTCCCAGTCCTGGCAGCTTACAACTCACGCCAGGCAGGTGTGCATGCGTGCCCCAAATCCTGAGCGGAGAATGGAGAAGGGACTGCAGCGTGGCCATGCCCCTGGGGTGATTTCTTGCTTTCTGCCTCTCTGTCCCTCTGCCTCTCTGGTTAGTACACATGCCCTATAGCAAAAATCTCTCTAAAAATGAAAAAAAAAAATTGCCAAAGATCAAAGAACTGAAGGGAGACGAGGCAGAGCGGAAACAAAGCACTGGACGTGCATAAAATCTCGCACTTTCTTTCTGGGATTCCAGCTAGAAGGAAGGCACAGGAGCCGCGGGCCAGGAAAGGCCAGTGGACATGGGGAGGCCTTGGCAGCGCCATTTCGGAAGGGGGAACACGCTTCACGCCGGGCTGACCTGCTCCTGTCTCCCCAGGTCCCAGGCCGGGCGATTACAGCAAGTTCAACCTCATCCGGCTGGCTCTGGGGGCCCTCACCATGGTGACTATGGGGGCCGCCCTGGCTGAAGCCTGCCGAGCCAGAAGGCGCCCCGCGAGCATCCAGGGAAGGGCCACGTCAGGGTGACAGGGCTCTCTCCACACCTCCCCCGGGGTCTGGACGCCTGTTCCGCAGGGTGCGCCTGGCGGGCTATCTTCACCGTGCTGCATCTGCTCTGCGTTTCCATCTGTCCGTGCCCAGCTCGCAGCAGGTGCTGGGGGAACACGGGCTCTTCCGGGGCTGCTCCGCGCTTCTCAGGCCCTGGAGTGTTCCTGTCCCTCCCGCAGTCAGGGCCTCTCAGGGCTCGCTGAGGTCAGGCTCTGGCTGCTCTCTGGCCGGGGCTGGTGGAAGCCCAGAGCCTCTGGGTCCCCAGGCCATCGGCACCCCATGAACCCGCGTTTCCCCACACAGTCTCACCACAGTCTCCATCTGGCCCTGCGTCAACGGCTTTAGTGACGTTCCCATTTCCTAATGTGGGTCTATCCGTGCGTATTTTATTTTATTTTATTTTTGTTTGTTTTGTTTTAATTGCCCAAGGGCATGTGTGCTCACCAGAGAGAGTCAGAGGTAGCCCCCCCAACGGGCTTGGTCACACCGCAATCCTTTTCCCACACACTCCTACAGCCCGTTGGGGTTTGGGGCGCACGCGCGTGCCTGCTGTGTTTCTGACGCCTTCGGGACCGGGATTTGGACTGTGGTGCGCCCATGGGGTCTGGTCCGTAGCCACGAGGCTGCCGGCCGGTCCTGTCCGTGTTTATTTTAGACTTTTCCTTTGCAGTCCGAGTCCAGTTTTCAGTCGTTTATTCTGAATTCACTTTAGATTTATAGAAAGTTGGAAAAGCAGCAGAAAGAACCCCTCGTACCCCTCACCTGGTCCCCCCAGCTGACGTTCCACGTGACGTACCCAACACCGAGCGCAGGACGTCAGGGCTGCTCGGCGCTGCGGGGTAACACGGGTGTCGTCGACGCAGGCCCACACGGGAGGGTCACTGGTCCATGTCTGGAGGCCCCCTGTGCCGGGCACTCACACGCTTGTGGTCGGGGGACTCGGGGGACTGCGGCTGTGGGATCCCATCGGAGGTGCCGTCTGTCTGTCTCATTCCTTTGCTTCCTCTCAGTGTCTCGCATTCATGGAATAAATACACTTTAAAAAGTACCCTCTGGGGGACACTGTGGCATGGTGTGATGTGTGCATAGTTGTCACCTGTCATGGGACTCGTGTCATGGCAAACACAGCCCACACGCAGGACTGCTCAGGACCACCGCAACCACGCTCGGGCTAAGCCTTGACGGTCACACGCTCCTCTCCCGCCCCTCTCCAGAACTCTGTGGTTTTGAGAATGCTCTGGAAATGGGATGAGACAAAACGGGAGGTCTTGCTGTTGGGCTTGTTTTTCACTCTCGAGTCCCTTGAGAGCTACCCAGGTTCTCGGATTATCAATAGCTTGTTGCATTTTGCCCTGAACTGTGTTCCCTCGCATTTATCAGACATGCGTAGTGCACACCCGTGTCTATCATAGTTTAGTTATTTCTCTGTATAATGATATTTTGCATGTTTTCAGGTTTGGCTATGATAAATAAAGCACTGATGTACGGGTTTTGTATGGATGTGAAGTTTTGTTTCTGTGAAACAAATGCCCAAGACTGAGATTCCCGGGTTGTAGGGCAGCCTAGAGGCTCAGCAGTGACACGCCACTCAAGCAAGGCTCAATCCATAGGGACGGTCACGGTGTGTTCCCCAGTGCTATGTGCATGCCGGTGTGTGAGCCACGGTCCTGACTGGCTGGGACAGCTGCTGCGTGCTCATGGCTCCAGACCCTGTCGAAGGGACTTTTCTCTTTCTTATTTTCTCACTCTCATGAAAGAAATAACCTTTTAAAAAGAGATTTTTGTGTTGTGTGGTGAGGTCACATTTAGCTTATAAAATCTCCCACAATCGGGGCCAGCAGGTGGCATGGTGGCTAAGGGCGCTGGACTCCCACGTGGCCGACCGTGGTTTGAGTCAATCGAACAACTCAATAGCAAAAGGAAAACAAATGACCTGATTTAAAATGGGTAAAAAATTTGAACAAACATTTCTCAAAGGAAGACACACAAATGACCAATATTCAAGATAAAAAATATTCAGCATCCGTGATCATTAGGAAAATGCAGACCAAAACCTCAGTTACTCCTCAGCTCAGCGCAGCGAGAATGGCTATCATCAAACGTAAGAGAACGGCAAATGGGGGTGAGGCTGTGAGGGGGCTCTCAGACCCTGTTGTGAGCTCGTAAATGAGAACAGTCGTTCTGGGAAACACCACGGAGGTGCCCCCGAATCTGAACACACAGCTACCGTCTGGCCCACCCACACCTCTGCGGGTATGCTTCGGAAGGGGACAAAGCCAATATGTCCGAGACGGCCCTTCCAGGTTTATGTGCCGTATTCCGAACAGCGAAGATGTTACATCGACCTAAGTATTCACTGATGGATGAGCGAATAAAGCAAATGTGCTACGAAGACGCAATGGAGCCGCTGGCAGGTGGCGTGGTGGGTAACGGTGCTGGATTCCTACACAGCTGACCGCAGTTCGAGTCCCGGACTTGGCAGCTTTCTTCATTTCCCTTTCTCTCCATCTCTGGTCAAGGTAAAAAATAATAACAAATTGAATGAAATAAATCTACTACAACTCTTTAAACATATATATACATATACATACACACACACACACACACACACACACGCACGCACCGTGGAGGCTATTTAGCCATTAAAAACGTGGAATCCTGTCATTGGTGGCATCGTGGTGAAGCTGCCAAGTGAGATAAGCCAGGCACAGAACGGCAGACACTGTATGACCTCGTGTGTCTGGGGGATCTGAACAGTTAAGACAGACGTAGAGGGAGGAACAGGGGTTGCAGAGGTGGGGGCGCGTGGAGGGGAGAGGGAAGAGTGGAAAGAGGCTGGCCGCGAGGAACGCAGTCACGGGTAAGAGGAAGCAGCTCCAGTGTTCTGTGGCGTAGGAGGGTGGTTACAGTCAGCAGTCTGCGGTGTATTTCGAAATAGCTACAAGAGGGCTGGCAGGTGGCTTGGTGGTTAAGGCACTGGATCCCACACGACCAATGGCAGTGCGAGTCCCGGACCCGGTAGGTTGTTTTCTTACTTGACTTATCGCTCTCTCTGTAGTCAAATTGAGTATTAATAGTAATAAATACATTAAATAAATAATTCTAAAAAAATTTTTTTAAATAGCTATAATAGATTTTGAATATTCATATCACAAAGAAATCGTGAACGTTTTAGGTAATGGGTCTGCTAACTACACTAATCCGATCATTACACCTTGTATACGTGTATGTCAGCTGTACCCCACAAATATGCACAACTACTGTGTCACTTTGCAAATAGGAACTTAGGGGCCAGCAGGTGGCTTGAAAATCACACCAGGCACGGGTGCATGAGTGCCCAAAATCTCAAGTGGAGAATGGAAAACAAGGGATTGCAGTGTGGCCATCTGCACTGGGGGGATGAATTCTCAGTTTCCTTGTCTCTGTCTCTGTCTCTGCCTGTCTCTCTCTGGTGATCATATGCACCTTATGACAAAAATGTTAAAAAAAAGAAATAGGAATTTAATTTTTTAAAAAGGCACATGACTTAGAAATGGAAAAAATGAAACTTATTATTCAGTTTTACAGTCAGAAAATATGATCAACTCCCTAAAAATGCCCAAGGAAGTTTTTTTAAATAAGAGAATATCTGAGCGAGGAAAGTGGCAGGACATAGTGATATAAAGATTAACTGCATTTATATTTGCACACAGTGAATCACTGATCATTTCCGGGGCCAGCAGGTGGCATGGTGGCTAAAGCGCTGGACTCCCACATGACCAACCACGGTTCGAGTCCCAGATCTCGCGCTTGCTCTCTCACTCTCCCTAAACTCTTATCTCTGGCTCTCTTTGGTGAGCACACATGCCCTATAGCAAATTAATATTTATTAATCATTGATAATAATAAAATTAAATAATGAAAGGGAAAGTGATCATTTAAAAAGCACTACCATTTACTTAACATCAATTGACATGAAAACTTTCAGCACAAAAGTTAGGCATGTGCAAGACCTACATGTTTAGAACAGCAAAACCTTGCTGAGAGGAATTCAGAGCTCTAACCAGAAGAGCTACTAGTATTGAGAGATCAGGGCCAGCACGTGGCGAGGTGGTTAAGGCGGTGGACTCCCACATGGTCTACCATGGTTCAAGTCCCAGACCTGGTGGCTTGAAAATCATGCCAGGCACGTGTGTTTGCATGCACCCAGAATCCCAACAGGAGAAAGGAGGACAAGGGATCGTAGTGTAGCCAACCCTCTTGAGGGGTGACTTTTCACTTTCTCTCTCACTGTCTCTTTCTCTCTCTCTGAGGGCATGTACCTTATGGCAAAAACCTTAAAAAAAGATATCTATGATCCTTATGTTGATGGACAGGTTAGCACGAGCCCAATCTACATCCCCACAGCCTTGTTTTAAAAGTGACTAGTTAATTTAAATATATATATGAAAATGTAAAGGACTTAGAATAGAGTCTTTTGTTGTTACTGTTGTTGTTAGAGAGGTTATATTTTTTATTTTATTTTATTTTTTTTGCTATAGGGCGCGTTCACTTGCCAGAAAGACAGAGAGACAGAAAGCGAGAAATCACCCCCCAGGGGGGATGGCCACACCACAATCCCTTCTCCTCCATTCTCCTCTCGGGATCTTGGGTATGCATGCACACGCGCCCGGCGTGAGTTTTAAACCACCGGGTCCAGGACACGAACCGTGGTCGACTACGTGGGAGTACAGCGACATAGCCATTACGCCAACTGCTAGTCCTAGGATGGAATCTTTTTAAAAAATAAACGAACATCCTCTGTTTGAAGACTTACTTAAAAAGCAAAGTTGGGCCAGCCTGTAGTACAGCAGTTCGGTGTCGTGCACTGGGAGCCAGATCCCACGTGGCCAACCGCGGTTTGAGTTCCAGCCCTAGAAGCTTGAAAAACACGCCAGAGACGTGTGTGCACCCCAAATCCTGATGGAATGGAGGGGTGGAGAAACAGGGATTGTGGTGTGGCCACGCCTCATTGTGGGGGTGCTCTCTCTCTCTTTCTCTCTCTGGCACAAATATGCGCTCCCCAGCAGTGAAAGACAAACAGAAAGTGAAGTGATGAAAAGCACGCACATATACATCCATGAACGCCCCCTCCTGGGAAGGAAGTTCCTCATGGCAGAGAGGACTGAGGACACCTGCCCAAGTGACTGGCTGTCTTGATATCACAGATACTGCTCAGCAGACTAACGAAGTATTTGATTTCCTAAATAGGTACGCTAAAGTCATTAAGTTGAACGCTTTTACTGTAGGGGCCAGCAGACGGCACAGTGGTTAAGGCACTGGACTTGCACGTGGCTGACCACGGTTCAAGTCCTGGACCTCACGGCTTGAAACTCAAGCTGAGTGCAACTGTGTGTGTCCCCAAATCCTGAGAGGACAATCGAGCAGGGAGTGCAGCGTGGCCATCCCCCCTGGGAGCAGATTTCTCGCTTTCTGTCTCTGTCTCTCTCTGTCTCTCCAGCAAGCACATGTAACCCATAGCAAAAATCTCTCAAAATAAAACTTCCTTTTCTGTTAAAGAAATGTGGTTAATGACTTTCTGGGAGTTATAATCTGTAGATTATGAATTAGTATTACATTTTATCAAATGCTTTTGCTTTTTGCACCTTTAAGAGTGCTCATAATTTTTTCCCTTTTATATGATTCACGTGGCTTCTTACCTTGTTTGATTTTGAACTGTTGTCAGCTTTGCATTTCTATAATGTGTATGTGGAGGCGTCTCCTCCCACCCGACTCTCTGCATGCATTTTTAAAAGAAGTATTTATTTAATTTTATTTATTATTACTATTTTAATTTGCTATAGGGCACTTGCACCACCAGAGACATAGAGACAGGGGAAAGTGAGAAAGCAAGCCACCAGGTCCGGACGCGGACCATGGCCAGTCGTGTGGGAGTCCAGTGCCTTAACCCCCGCGCCATCTGCCGGCCCCTCTGCACAGTTTTAAATCGGCATTGCATCATCGACATCTCGACGGCACAGTGTTCTCGAAGTGTGCGTGAAGTACACGCTGCAATCGTGGTGTCGGCACATGCGCCATTCCCAGCACAGCGCTACCTTCTCGCGTCCCCTCTGCCCGCCCTCTGCCATCCTCGCCCCTTCCGTAACGTCTCTGGGACGTGCACTGACCCCCTAGCTCTCATACCTTCCCGTCTTCCCATCCCCGCCATAGAGTGCAGGCATCCGACAGACACTGAGCGAGGACGCGGTTCTAAGGACCTGAACATGGCAGCCCTGTACAGCTTGGTTTTTTTTCTTTTTAAAGTTTTTTCTCCAGGGTGTGAGCCTTTGCTGGAGGGAGACAAAGACAGAGATAGAGAGGGAAAGTGAGAAATCATCCTCTGGGAGGATGGCCACACCACAGTCCCTTCTCCTCCATTGTCCTCTTAGGATGTGGGGCACACATGCACACATGTACCCACGTGATTTTCAAGTGGCTGGGTCCCAGACTTGAATGGCACAGTTGGCCACATGGGATCCAGCTGCCTTAACCCTCAAGCCACCTACTGGCCCATGGCCTGAATGTTTTTATCCTCCAAAACTCATGTTGAAATTTAATTGCCTTTAATTGCCAACGCTACAGTACCAGGCCACGAGAGGCTACCTCACGGGTGGGTCTAACACATATGTAAGCGGGCACAGTACCAGGCCACGAGAGGCTACCTCACGGGTGGGTCTAACACATATGTAAGTGGGCACAGTACCAGGCCATGAGAGGCTACCTCACGGGTGGGTCTAACGCCTATGTAAGTGGCATGGGGATTAGGCTCTTTATCCTGACCCTTCTGCCTTCTGCTTTCCTCCCCTCTTGGGTGCAGCATGAACGGCGCCATCT